CAAATACCCAACTTGCTCCTAAGAGCTTGAAAACGACCCACACTAAAGGACTTAGTGAAGATATCTGCTATTTGCTCATCTGAGCTACAATGCACAACCTGAACTTCTCCTTCCTTCTGCATCTCTCTAAGAACATAATACTTGATCTAAAAGTGCTTGGTCCTTCCATGAAAAACCGAATTCAATGAAATAGCTAAAGTGGCTTGATTATCCACAAACACCTTCACACTCTCTTCTTTCTTTAGATGCAAGTCACGCATCAACTTCTTCAACCAAACAGCTTGGTTGACTGCTGCTGTTGCTGCAATGAACTCAGCTTCTGCAGTTGACTTAGCCACTATATCTTGTTTTTTTGAACACCATGAGAAACACCCTGAGCCAAAAGTGAAACAATAGCCAGAGGTACTCTTCATATCATCTAATGACCCAGCCCAATCACTATCTGAGTAACCCTGCAATTCAAAATTTTCAACTTTATTGTATTTGATCCCAAAAGACAGTGTGCCTTTAAGATATCTCAAAACCCTCTTTCCAGCAACCATATGATTATTGCTTGCACAGTGAAGAAATCTAGATAAGACACTTACAGTGTACATGATGTCAGGCCTAGTGGATGTGAGATACATAAGACATCCAACTAGACTTTTGTACACATTCAGGTTCCTCCCCATCATCCTTCTGCAACTTCTCCTTCTGAATCATCAAAGTGTTCACACTCTTACACTCCTCCATATTGAACCTCTTCAATATCTCTCCCATGTACTTCTTCTGATAGAGAAACACTTCATTCTGTCCTTGTTGAATCTCCAAGCCAAGGAAGTAATGCATCAGACCTAGATTAGTCATCTCAAACAGCTTCATCATTTCTTGCTTGAACACCTCTATCTGATTATTATCACTTCCTGTCACCAGCAAGTCATCTACATAAAAAGATACAATCACAATAGCAGTACCTGATTTCTTCACATAGAGTGTGGATTCACTCAGACTCTTCACAAAACCCAAGCTCAGCAAGTGATCATCCATCTTGCTGTACCATGCCCAAGGAGCTTGCTTCAACCCATAGAGAGCCTTCTTCAGTAAATAAACCTTCTGCTCTTGCCCTGGTGTGATGAACCCGTCTGGTTGCTCAACGTAGATCTCTTCTTCTAACACTCCATTTAGGAATGCTGACTTCACATCTAGTTGATACACCTTCCATCCATGCTGARCTGACACAATCAGTAGTATCCTGATTGTGTCCATTCTTGCAACCGGTGCAAAAGTCTCAGAGAAATCAACTCCCCAGACTTGTGCATACCCTTTCACTACTAACCTGGCCTTGAGCTTGTTCACAGAGCCATCTGGATTTAATTCAGTTTTGAAAACCCATTTGACTCCAATCACCTTTCTGTTAGTAGGCTTCTCCACTAGCTCCTATGTCTTGTTCTTCTCTATCATTCTCAGCTCTTCCTTCATTGCCTCCATCCACTTTTGATCTTTTTGAGCTTCTTCAAACMCTACAGGCTCCAACACAGCTACGCTGCTTCTTTCATACACCTCAGTCAATAGTCTAGTCCCTCTCACTAGTGCATCATCAACTAGTTCATCAGGATCCAGAGAGACTTCTTGTTGCTTCACCTCTGCTTCTTCTGTCCAGTCTCACTCCTCATCCTCCAAAAATTGAACGTCTCTACTAATCACCATCTTTTTTATGTGAGGTTGATAGATCTTGTAGGCTTTGGACACCATGCTATAGCCTACAAAGATTCTTGGTTCTGCCTTCTCACTCAACTTGTCTCTCTTCACCTGTGGAACATGGAAAAAACATAAGYAACTGAACACCTTCAAATTTGTCAGTTTTGGTTTAGTATCAAACCAAGCTTCATAGGGGGTCTTCTTCTCCAAGACCCTTGTAGGTAGTCTATTCAATAGAAAGACTGCTGTGTTTGCTGCTTCAGCCCAAAACTCCTTTGACAAAGTCTTCTCATACAACAAGCATCATGTCATCTTCATAATACATCTGTTCTTCCTTTCACTAACTCCATTCTGTTGTGGAGAATATGGAGCAGTGAGTTGATGTTCTATCCCAGCTTCTTCACAGAAGGAATTAAACCTTTATGATGTATATTCAGTCCCATTGTCGATCCTCACCACTTGAATCTTACAGCCACTTTGATTCTCAACCCATCTTTTAAACTTTAGAAACACTCCAACTGCTTCAGATTTCTGCTTCATGAAATATATCAAACACATCCGAGTATAATCATCMATAAAGATAATGAAATACCTGCTACTATTCAGTGAAAGAGTTGGTTGAGGTCCACACAAATCAGTGTGGATGAGCTGTAGCTTCTCAGTTGCTTKCCAAACTGACTTCTTGAATGACAATCTTGTTTGCTTCCATGTCAGACAAGCTCTACAGTTTGTTTTCAGCTYCTCTAGAACCGGTACTACTATTGCCATCTCATTTTTCTACAGATAYTGCAATCCTTTATGATGAAAATGYCCGAACCTCTTGTGCCATAACTCAGTGTCATTCACCTGACACTTGAAAGCTATTTGCTTCTTCTCGAATGGATCTAATGAAAAGCTCTTGTGCTGCATCTTTATTCTAAACAACTCATTCCCACTGGAATCAGAAATGAGGCACTTCCTGAAAGCTCTTGTGCTGCATCTTTATTCTAAACAACTCATTCCCACTGGAATCAGAAATGAGGCACTTCCTGTCTTCAAACAACACTTTAAATCCCTTATCTACTAGTTGACCAACACTTAACAGGTTTTGATCAATCTCAGGAACAAACAACACTTCATTAATCAACTTGGTTCCAACACAACTCTCTATTGACACTGTGCCCTTCCCTTTCACTTCTAGATACTCACCATTTTCGATCTTCACCCTTGACTTAAATGACTTGTCAAGGTCCTTGAACAACTCTTTATCACTTGTCATATGATTGGTRCACCCACTATCAACCAACCAACCATCACATTGATTGGTTGATGAGAAACAGGTGGCCACAAAGAGTTGATCTTCCTCTTGCTGTACTGCAGCATGTGCTCCTCCTTGTTGTTGGGTCTTGGCACCTTTATAAAATCGTTCAATGTGTCCCAATAAATTACAGCTTCTACACTTCACATATGGTCTTCTCCAGCATCTGAAGTGTGGATGATTGTGYTTCCCGCAGTGCTTGCATGCACTACCAACATCCTTTGAAGCAAATTCTGAGCTACTACTACCACTCGCCTTCTTCCCTTTCCACTTCGTCTCTCTTCCACCTTCTCCCTRCTGCATTCTAGCTTTCAGCGCCCCCTCCATGCTTCCTTCTTGCCATATCAACCTCCTCTGCTCCTGTGCTTGCAAAACACTAACAACTTCTATCACTTTGAGTTTGGAGAGGTCTTTAGTATTCTCTAAGGAAGCAATGGTTGCTTCATATCTCTCAGGTACTGAAACCAGAATCTTCTGAACCAATCTATTKTCAGATAGATCAGTTCCTAATGCTCTTGCCTTGTTAGCAATCCCGATCAACTTGTCTGAATACTCTTTGATGGACTCAGAATCCTTCATCTGCATTCWCTCGAATTCCCTCACCAAGTTCAACACCTTCATGCCTTTAATCCTCTCATTCCCTTCATACTCATTTTTGAGGAACTCCCAGATCTCCTTTGCTGACTTCAATGCCATAATTCTGTTGAATATGGCGGGAGACACAGCTGCATCTAGGCAAGCTCRAGCCTTTTCCTTCCTGGTGACCCTCTCCTTGTGAGTCGTGATCTTATGCATCGTTGGATTATCAGGAACTGGAGCAATTTCATAATCCTTCTTAATTGCTTCCCAATAATCACAACCCTCCATGTAGGCTTGTATTCTAATTGCTCATGCTTGATAGTTTTCACCATCAAACACAGGTGGAGCCAGTGAAGAAAGATTGTTTGATCCTAACTCCATTGGACAAAACTCTCACAGGTGTATCACTTAGTTCCTCTTGGGAATATTTCACTAATCCTCACTCACAGATCCCTTAAGAATTTAAGGCTCTGATACCACTGTAGTTCTTATTATTGAGAGAGAAATGAGAAAGTGAGGAAGTGTGAGTTTCATTCAATGATACTACATATTTATACAAACTTTAAGTCTAAAAATAGACTCAACTAATTCCACATAAAAAGCAACTACTCCACTAGCCATAAGAATAACAACCTAACTAGTTGACTTGACTATACAAAAAATAATCCTAACAACTTCCTAGAAACTAGGATTTGGACTAGACAAATTCAAAAACTAAAAGAATCAAACTTGCAATTTGAGTTAACTTACAAAGCTGAAAAGGAAAATGATAAAAGAAAAAGAAGTACTTTTTTTGTTAAATAAAAAATCATTTGATAAATCACGCCACGAGGGCTACATTTTCTCCTCTCTTCCTCACTAACAAAATCAGCTTAGGGAGAGATTGTTCCATCCAAAGAAGGGAAGAACCAGAACCAGATATAGTCTGACTAAATCGTGGGCGACATGTTGGGCGATTCTATATTAATATTCATGAATTTCATCTAAAAAATAATTAAAAGAGTAATCCAGATATATTATGAGGACCTTATCCTTTTAACGTGAGATTTTAAACGTTCTATGATGCGTAGACCATCTAAGACATTCATTGAAAAAAATTATTTGTTGCCTACTTGCTCTCTAAAATTTTACATGAATTTGAAAAATAGTTTTAAATAGTCATGGGGCATGTTTGACTTGACAAATTATATATATATATATATATATATATTTTTTTTTTTTCTTTAATTAAACACATGAATTGTCTTTCCTTCTTTCTTTCTTTTTCTCCTCTTTTTTCTTCTCCTCCAAAATACCTTTGTAAGTGCTCACGGTCGTACCTTTCTTAACCATGCGGCGCCATGATCTAAGCTCGACCATGGCCAGCCTTATGGGGAACTATATCCCCAATTCACTTTTCACGCCCTTTGTGGCTTCATCGGACCTTAGGCAAGGTTATTTCTTCCTCGATCGAGCTTCACTTGCATGCGGAATCCTATCTTGTCTCGGTAATGCACACCGCCCGTACGTACATTTAAACTCTCTTGCGACTCTAATCGGTTTGCCTTTACACTAGGCCAAGTCCCACGACTTTACCTTGCCTCTAGTATAGGCCAAGGTCCTCAAAACGCGACGTCGTGACTCATTTTCAACCATCTTGGTTCTCGGCCACTCGGTCATCTCGCTCCTACGATGAGCCAGGACCTTACCGGGATGAGTTCTGACCTTCAACGGGGTCAGAACGAGCTTAAAACGCCAACCGGGTATAACCGGGAGGTTCCTGCCACTTAATTATGTCAAAACTAACTTATCGGGTCCATCAGACGCCTCTAAGACCATTCCTGTTGAGAAACTAGTCAATAACGGGCTAAACAACTTTACCGAGTACTGCCGGTATGATTCTTGCCGACATCCCAATGAGGAATGACTAAACTTGGCAATCGGGTGAGTCTTATCGCTTACCGGGCCAAAACTAGCTTTTTATCACTTATCTGGTGCCCACCAATACTGTAGGATGCCACCCCGAGCATTGGGATGTCATCGGGCTTCGTTGCTCACTTAGGCACGCTT